CTTCACGGAGCTGCAAGTTGTGCAACTCGAACATCGACCTTGTTTTCTGGAAAATAAATTCAGATGAAATATGCCTTCATTTTCTCGTTTTTTCGGTCATATTTTGCTCTCTTGTGAGCATCTATTCGAAACTGTTTTACGCAATGCTTCTTCGATCCGCGACTGTATTTTTTTTTTACGCCTGTGAAATCTTCTGAACATATTTGAAACTTTGCGACGAAAAAAGTTTGAAAAATGAGGAAATGAATCGAGCTTTGGCCCGTCTTCTCTGTCACATTGTCGCAAAATACTCTATTCATTCGAAAATTATGCGGAATTGTTCAATATCAATATCGGAATTTCTGTACATGTGAAAAATCTCGGGAGGCGACCAGTTTTGAACTGATTTTATGGAGTCTTATCTTAGGTCAATTTATTGACTCTTATTACTGTGGCTATGAGTATACAGTCGGACTCTTTCTAAGACGATCTCATCTACAAGGATTTTCTCTGTGCTGCATAACGAATTTTTTGGTCCATGGGCTTCTCTCCCAATATTATTTGGGTTCTTCAGAACGAATTTTGTTCTGGTCCCTCGCTTTTCGTTTTAGAAAGTCTACCTGTATTTCATATCAAGTTTTAACTGCATAACGAATTTTTTGGTCCATGGGCTTCTCTCCCAATATTATTTGGGTTCTTCAGAACGAATTTTGTTCTGGTCCCTCGCTTAAGCAAAATCTTTCAGATGGACATAAAGTATAGTTCAAAATTCTGGAAGTGACAGGTTCGTTCGATACTTCCCCAGCTTTCCAATTAAAAAGCCAAGAGTATTCTCTTATGGTTAGGAGTACTTTTTAAAAACATTTTTCTTTTTTTAAATAAAAAAAGAAAAGAGAATGAAAAGCTTCAGAACGGTATTGAGAGCATGAACACGATTCTCAATGAATATACCGTATATTGAGCTGAGCATCCGAACATTTTTGAAACACTATTCGGTAATCCGAAAAAAAATCCACGAATCACGGATCCACATTACGGACAATGGAGTACATTCAGAAACAATTTAGCAGATGCCCAATCTGTTTTTTTTCTTTCTACTCTCAGGGGAGCTTTTTCTGAAATAAGACCACAATTTAACTTTTTCACATAGGTTATTGCAATTCAAGAGAAGAAGAAATGCTCCCTCTCTTTCTCTCTCTGGGAGGGAGGGAGGTACTCCCTCTCTCTTCCTTTCCGCGCGCGCTTCGTCCCGTCCAAAGCACCACAGGCGACTGGTGGGAACATACTAGGCTGGCTTCTTCCCTCCGGCCGATCAGTCCGCGCTGTGACTCGCCAGCAGTCGTAGGTACGCCGTGAATTTACGCAAGTTTTCACTTGAAATTCTGAATAACATGAAGAAGAGAATATACTGAGGGCGAAGAGACGGGAGCAAATGAGTGTGCGTGTGTGTTGAAGTGCGGTTACGTTGTCAGAAAAGGGCGTGAACGTTTTCTTAAACGGTCTTGACGTTGAAGTTAATTCGTCCGACGAATGTCGAGTGAAGCTTACATGAAACTTGAATTTATTTTTCCGCTTCTTTACAGTACTGTAATTTTTATCTTCATCTTACATGGGCGCTTCCGCGTTTGGCACTATTATTTTCATCATTTGTTTGAAAGCGTGAACGTGGGATATAATCATATATTTCCTGCTCTGTTTATGGAGAAATCACCAAATGAGTTTAGTACTGTGACAAGTTGCGTGTCGATGCCTATCTCTTGAGCTGATTTTTTTGGGTATATTGGACGGAAGTGGACACGAACACGCCTCTCATTCTTGACATTATTCCCAAATATTTTGAACAAGCAGCCACTGGAACCTTACGAAAATCATGCAGTNATGAGTTTAGTACTGTGACAAGTTGCGTGTCGATGCCTATCTCTTGAGCTGATTTTTTTGGGTATATTGGACGGAAGTGGACACGAACACGCCTCTCATTCTTGACATTATTCCCAAATATTTTGAACAAGCAGCCACTGGAACCTTACGAAAATCATGCAGTATCAGATGAGATATCGTGTAGTGCGTACTGTTCTACAAACCTATGTACTGTATACTGAAGTCGTGCAGGACGAAACGCACCAAAAGAAAGGAGTTATTCGTCATTTGTTTACACAATTCCTGATGTGCAAATCGTTCGAGTCGCTCAACTTCCAAAAAAAAAAAATCGGAAGAAGAAGCGAAGTTTCTATAGACGTAAACGAGAAATTGAAAATGAGTGGTAGCGTGCTATTCACTCGTCACTGTTCGAACGTCGCATCATTAAAGGAAATAGTGCAAGTGTTCAGATGATAGTGATTTCGATCATCGTGGTTCTTTCGACAGGTTATTGGTGAAACGTGGAGCCTGATGTGCGAAATTTTGAAGTGAAATATAAAGACGAGCACGCTGCCGCCATTCAATCACTGTCACACACGCCAAAACTGTTTTCCACGCTTGTTTCACATCGAGTCAATGCAATGAAGTATCGCGAATTGCGGTGAAAGAAGACGTCTTGTGTATACTTGAACTTGAAGTGATTCGCGCCGTCTCGTTCCTCCCTTCTGAACGAGATAACATTTCGACGAATCTGTGTTGGAGCGAACAAATTTGCTTTCCCGAAGATGGGGAATCCTGCCGGAAACGTGTTCCTCGTCGTTCTGGTCTACGTGTCATCGCCGCTCCTGGTTTCTGGCTTGGAAGGTGAAATTTCTCATCTTTTTTTTTTTGTCTGGCTCGAAGTGCTCGTGAAGGAAGGGGCTTCAGTTGCACGAACTGTTGCATTGGTCTATGATGGAATGGATATGTGCTTGATCTCCGCTGGGGGCTGTCTGCGTTTTCAACCTTGTTCATTGTTTTGAGGGGTGGGTGAAATCTCTTCGGCGCCGAAGTCTTGGAGATTTCATGAAAGAAAACGATTCCGCATTACGTGTTAAAAGAACAGGCCCTGTGCGAGGAGTTGATTAGCCAGGGTCTGGGGATTTTTTCAGGCTATTTCCAGTGTTTAGAGTCGCGGGATTTGAGGGTCTGGGGATTTTTTCAGGCTATTTCCAGTGTTTAGAGTCGCGGGATTTGGGTGAATCCTGTTGCCCATTTGTGCTAATCCCCGTCGCGCCTGAGCCTCTCGTGTCTATTATTACTGTATTATTGTTTCCAAGTGTGCCCGCCTTGTTCCATGGTGACGGCTTAAGCTTTTATTTTCTCTTGCTAGTCCGGCTTTCAGTATTGTTTAGAGAGGGAAGTCTCATTGAGAACATATCCTCAGCTTTCCAAGAATATTAATGTCACGTAGAAGTACCACCTCCTCGAGTTTCTAGTACTACTAGTGGCGTTAATCCAACCCTCGAAATCAGAAGGGGTTTAAATACCTCATCTTTATGAGACTCATTATGAAATTAGAAGTAAACTTCCGCCTGTAAGGTTTTAAATATAGTTGTTGGAATTTTACAAGCCTTACACCTGTAAAGTGTTGGTTGAATTCGCTGAAATAAACCTTGTCAATTTGTTAATGAGGAGTAGAATTAAAACACAGCAATTGGCCAGGAGATTTCATGAAAGAAAACGATTCCGCATTACGTGTTAAAAGAACAGGCCCTGTGCGAGGAGTTGATTAGCCAGGGTCTGGGGATTTTTTCAGGCTATTTCCAGTGTTTAGAGTCGCGGGATTTGGGTGAAGCCTGTTGCCCATTTGTGCTAATCCCCGTCGCGCCTGAGCCTCTCGTGTCTATTATTACTGTATTATTGTTTCCAAGTGTGCCCGCCTTGTTCCATGGTGACGGCTTAAGCTTTTATTTTCTCTTGCTAGTCCGGCTTTCAGTATTGTTTAGAGAGAGAAGTCTCATTGAGAACATATCCTCAGCTTTCCAAGAATATTAATGTCACGTAGAAGTACCACCTCCTCGATTTTCTAGTACTACTAGTGGCGTTAATCCAACCCTCGAAATCAGAAGGGGTTTAAATACCTCATCTTTATGAGACTCATTATGAAATTAGAAGTAAACTTCCGCCATCCGGAAAACCGAAATTGAAGAAATGCTGGAGTTATACGTGATAAAATTATTTCTCTTTGCATCTATAACTTAATTGGGGAATAAAATTGAGCAGAACTTCGCATCGGGAATGTCCTGCATTTTAGGAGTGTTTTTGGTGTAACCTGTTAACAATTGCTGATTAAGTATATAAGGAGAATTTGCGATTAAATTGATTTTTTGAAATCAAGTGAACCAACATTTTTAGTCCAATATATCAAGAAGCAGAATTACTGTAGTTTACTTGGATGGAAAAGTAATCTAGTGGCTTTTCGGCGGAAAACTCATCGATTCTTATTTCCCTAGTACAATAACTCGGTTCGTAAAGCCGTAGATGTCGTTTTCATTGTGGTCGTTGCCCAATTCCTACACAGCTTATGCTAACTTGTCGGGAGAGATCCTGAAGTAGCGCATTCATTTTTGCAAATTCCATTCTCGGTTGCGGGGAAAAGAACGGCCTTTCCTGCTTTATCTCGGAGAAGCAGATGTTGATTACTATGCAATCGGCTTTGGAAGTTCAGTGCGCCACTTCTGCTCTTTTGAAGTCGGGCTTGCATGCGAAATGCAGATCAAGGTATCAGCAATCCAGTCCTTTACTCCTCGGAATCCGTCAGATAGCTTCAGGGGGGGGGGGGGGGGGGGAGAATCGTTTTTGTGATGCATAAGGGGGGGGGGGGGGGGGGGGGGGGGGGGGGGGGGGGAGAGAATCGTCTTTGTGATGCATAACCAGCCATTTTATGTGGGCTGCGAAATGGATCCGAGGGTTATTCCAGATTTCGAACATGGTTCCGAGCAAAATGCCACCGAAAGTGTGGGACTTCGCGGAGTGATGGTGCCTTCAAATGGATCCCTGCGCTTTGGAACATTATCTTGTTGAATTAATCACCCGCTGGCTATTTTTTCTGATCTAATTTTTTGTCGATCGCGAAACTTATTCTTTCTTGCATAATCCATGATTTTGAAAGTTCTGCACAGTACATTCAACCGTACCTTTTTCGTGTCAGAAATGTCTCCCATGAAATTACTTCATTTCTTCACCTAAGGTATATTTCATTACGGAGGACGTATGCAGCCATCTTAGAGTAAACCTCCTGCTTCAATTCATTGGAATTCGTCAAGGTTATGAACGAAAGAATCTCCCAGAAATGTTTAAAAGATCTCTCCGAAATTTCCGCACGTTCGGTCGTTCAATTATACTCCACTGTTGGATAAAAAAATTCAGAAATATTATATTGCAAGACAGAATTTTTCCAGGCATACTTTCTGAAGCCTGTTCTAATGAACGAGGAGCCCAGGTGGGAATTCCGGGAATTTCCTGAGCAATGAAATGTGGCCTGGGTTTGGCGATTTGCATGCGGCGGTGGATGCCGAGAAGGTCGTGGTTTCTGTCGAGATGTGGTCGGAATAAAATCCCGGACGGGTTCCGTATGTAATTTGCCTTTTCGTCTTTTTCTCTCTGTCTTTCTCCCTCTTTTACGTGTTACATATCCTCGGGGCGTCCTTGTCGCTCGTCACTCACTGCCACACTTGGGCGATGACGAGTGATAAGGGGGAAAGGTGTGCAGTGTCGACGCGTGATCTCGGAGAGTTTACTTCAAGGTCGTGTCCTGAACTCCCGATTTGTCAAATCGTTCGTTTGTAAAGCTCAGCTATTTTTCTTTTTGAATTGTCGAGGCGTTTTTCCTTGAGCCACTTTTTCTGCTTGCGTCGCTCCGTCTTTCGCATGCCCGTTCGAGCAAAATGGGTAGAACGAACATGTTTTGCGGCCTTGATGGCGAAAAGTTCATTTCCCGAAGTTTGGCTGGAGGAAATTAAATCATGGTGTTTTTAGGCAAGCTTTTGCGGACATACATAGATGCCTTTTTATTTACCGTGAAAATCTTCTCTTTGCGATTCTGGAAATTTGCACGATTTTGAACAGATCGAGACTCTAATCAACAAACCCCCGGGGCTGGTACCTCTAATAAAAATTAATCAGTCGTTGTCGGCGAGCAATTTATACGAGAAGTAGAAATATCGCGTTATATTCGACCAAAATATAATGTTGATTTTTGAGAGAAAGTATTAATTCTCTCAAAGAAATGTGGGAATTTTAAGAAAATGAACCAATGGTTAAGGTTACGGAATAAGAAGTAGCAAGCTCCGGATGTTGCAAAAAAAAAAACTTGACACATCCCAAATCAATGGATCGATGAAGAAAATATATGAAAATGAAGAAATGAAGATTTTTCCTGATGCAACTTATTCATTAATTTCAGAGTATTGAACTTCCTTCTAACTTTTCGTTGGATTCGGAATCAGCAATCATTGGAATTGTGATCAGGGGATAATCATGAGCCTACATAAAAATTGCGTTCATCTCCATTCATTCATTCAATTTTTTTTTTTTAGAAATAGTGTAAATAAAACTGGAAATTGGAGAGAACAATTCGTGAATCGAAAAACGTATTCTGCGCTATCAAGTGTAATGTTTCGAGCGACGATTTTCCTTGTGAATTATTCGAAATGTACTATTTCTGTTCGGATTCAGGCCACGACAGGCGGTTTGCTCAATGCCGGGCTTACGTTTTTTTGGATTTATTTTTTTATATACCGTATTTTTATAAAATGGGAATAAGAAGAAATTCATCGCCTACCTTGTTTACGTTTGCTGAGGCCACAAGCTACTGGATACTTCATGAGGCTCGGCTGATGATGCGCAGCTTGCTGAATTCTTGATGTGCCTGTGGGAACGGAAGATGTGAAATAGGCTCCGTTCGTTCCTTCCTTCCATCCATAGAAAACCCCTTCGCCGCGGGGTTGCTTTTTGTTGACGGGCGTTCTTCTTTTGAGAGAGGGAGAGATAGGGTATCCCGAAGTCTTTAGAAAGAGTAGTTCCCCCGCGACCAGTGGCTTCCTGTGAGCAGCAGGTGGAAGATGATACATCGGGGTCGGAGATTCTTTCCTTTTTCCGGGGATGTTTTCTTATTTATATTTCCCCCCATCGTCTTGGAATGGGTTCCTCGGTTTCACGAAGACCTGCAAGTTTTTTGTCATCGAAAAACTGTTGTGTTCCTTCACTGATGTGTCGCTAATTCTTTCAAGTTAAATTTCAGCTACATCTTTGAACTTTTTCCAATGACATAACGCACAAGAGGCGATAATCTCGTGAAATCTGCGTTTGTCATCCCTTGTGACGTGTTTTCTTTATTCATCTGGTCCGTCTTATCCAGTAGTTTCTCTTTTTTTTTTTGTGAAAACTTCGGAGCTCGAGGAAAGTTCATATCAGAATTTATGAAGTCTTGCATAACCCTGAAATCAATAGATAATTCTATATAAAATAGGCACATCATAGGAACTATTTTTCCTGATCGAATGCCGAAACCTTCTGGGGGAAGTTCCTTGTGAGATTATAATTATGTATTGTACTTCGTTTTCTGCCCGTTCGCGAATGCAAAAAAAATTGTTCAAGATTTATTTAGAAAAAATGAAAGCAGAGTTCTGGGCGCACCATTTAAAAAAAGCTTTCTCATTTTTCCTTCGAGCCTCTTGAATATTTGCCCATAATTTCACGGCATTTTCTTCTCTCGCCTCATTATGACAGCAGTAGAGTTCTTCAAAACTTGAATTTTCTGATAGCATGCATAAGTGACGGAAAGTTTACGTCGCTGATTGTATTTCTCCCCCCCGAAGTTCGTCGATCCTCGTGGCCGACTGAGGAAGAAAGTTGACGACATGCACCCCGGGGTGTTGGGGAGTTTCTTTCCACATCAACGACGGCTGGGCCTGTCAATCATAAAGTCTATCTTCGTTCTGCGCCCCTCGGTCTCGTCATCCGGGGGGTGACGATGACG